GCAAAAGAGAGAAAAGAAAATGTGTTAAGTGATGAGAATAATCCAAAGGGATGGAGCTATGTATATAAAGAGTTTAACAGAGACTCTGAAGTAAATATAAACAGGTGAAGAAATGTGTGGTTAGTTGGAATTCTTGCAGGTGCATTTAAACTTTCATTTACATGTCACAGTGTAAAATATGTTAAGATCAAGGTAAATGGTCTCAAAAGGAACATCTCTCCATGTTAGTTTTTGCCATTTAAAATTTGAATCTATGCACAATTTTATAGGCATGGGAGGAATTGAACTTGCCTAAAAAATTTAAACAAACCTTCTCAGAGAGGCATTTGCCCATGCCACATTCTAAATATAGAGCTTCTGCATCATGCATGCTTTTAAAGTAGATGATACTTGTGGATTCCACAAAATGTATAGATAAAAAGTGGTTTGAATGTTCACAAACATGAGCCGAAGTTAGTGGGAATCGGAAAAATTATTAATCATCAAGAACTTACAATGTCACATTGTTTTTTGGCATTATTTTGAACCTGCGAAAATTTGCAACATTTGTACTCGACGTATTGATGATATGCAATGTCATTGCCAACGCTACGTCTTTTGACAATGTGTTAACGAACCTATTTATTTTGGTGTCACGATAGATAGATTCACAAATATTTACTAGAAAAACGAACTCCATATTTTTCTTTATATATTTGCTAGTATAGAAAGCTCTACTTAAGGAGCTGGATTCAAGTTAAGAATATATTGCAAAGGAGTTTCTCAATCTATCGAGATTTTGTAACAAGTCGGTCTTTACATTTTTTTNAGTGTAAAATATGTTAAGATCAATGTAAATGGTCTCAAAAGGAACATCTCTCCATGTTAGTTTTTGCCATTTAAAATTTGAATCTATGCACAATTTTATAGGCATGGGAGGAATTGAACTTGCCTAAAAAAGTTAAACAAACTTTCTTAGAGAGGCATTTGCCCATGCCACATTCTAAATATAGAGCTTCTGCATCATGCATGTTTTTAAAGTATTTATAAATGATGGTGGATAAGTAGATACTGCTTCTGGATTTCTCAAAATGTATAGATAAAAAGTGGTTTGAATTTTTACAAACATGAGCTGAAGTTAGTGAGAATCGGAAAAATTATTAATCATCAATAACTTGTAATGTCACATTGTTTTTTGGCATTATTTTGAATCGGCGAAAATTTGCAACATTTGTACTCGACGTACGTATTGATGAGATGCAATGTCATTGCCAACGCTACGTCTTTTGACAATGTGTTAAGGAACCTATTTATTTTGGTGTCACGATAGATAGATTCACAAATATTTACTAGAAAAACGAACTCCATATTTTTCTTTATGTATGTACTAGTATGGAAAGCTCTACTTGAGGAGCTGGATTCAAGTTTTAGAATATATTGCAAAGGAGTTTCTCAATCTATTGAGATTTTGAAACAAGTCGGTCTTTACATTTTTTTTTATTTTTTTTATAAATTAAAAATTTAGTTATGGAAAATATAATTAATATTAATTCAAACTCTAATCACTTGTTAATTTAATTATTCATAAGAACTAATTAAGGCATGAAATTTTGTAAATTTGTAGTTGAAAATTCTTATTAAAACTCACAAAAGTCCATAAAAATGTGCAAATCTTAATCTAAAATTTTAAATATTTTTGTTAAAAATTTCCTAAAATTTTCGGCAAGGTTACCAAATTTAATTAAAAAATAAAAAATAAATTAGAAAACTTTTTTGATGTTTCTGAAACCTTTTTTTAGAGTTTCCTAAGAGTGTTAGGTTTTGAAATGTGCATGAACTTAAATGCTAGCACCTTATGTGTATGTGTACGAACCGACCCAACTTAACCATGAATTTCGAATCATCTTATGCAGACACAGTAGAGGTGGGCACGAGTCGAGTTCGAATCCAACTGAGCAACCGAACTCATACTTTAGGATTGATTGAATCTTAATCTGAAATTGGACCGATAAGAGGAATAAACCAATCAGCATTCAAGGGGATTTTTCCTTGAAATTCAATTTATTTTTTTTCAAATCGAAGTTTACGAGTTTGTCCAAGCAAACCAAAAACTGAACCAATATCCCTCCAACTACTCCAAGTCGGTTCGATTGACATTGTGGGTCGATTAGGCGGCTAATTCGTCCATCCCTAAACACCATATATCACCGGTCTAAGTTGTAGTGATGCCCGTGAAACTGAAAAAATGCGATTAATTATCAATTGTAGGATATGAGGCCTACTGTTGCTAAGCAATCAGTAGTGTTAACATTGCCCGGGGATTTTAGGCTCCTAGGCAGATGCACTCGGTGGTTCGAAACATATGAGAAATTGGTTAATAGAATTTAATTTCACTGATGAGAATGGCAGAAAAGTAGGTGAAGAATCATACAAATAATAGAGTGTGACATTAAATTCTGATAGTAAATGAGGCACCAGCCAATTCTATTATGCATGTCCTTGGGATTCTGGGCTTATCATCGTCTGCAAAATCTCTCTTTTGACTATTGTTTGTTTTTTTTTTCCTTAAATGAAGAAATTTTTTTCTCTTATTGTTTGTCAGAGGAACAGCTAGCAGTAGTTACATAGTAAAGCCAAGCTGTTCTACATTTTGTGGATTGGACCAATATTTAAGTTATCTGACCCCATTTTCATTGTATTGAGTTATCCTTTCCATTAACATAAGGGTAACCGGTCGACACACCGAATGTGTTTGATATGCAATATTAGGAACAATATGATAGTGTTACGAGCTTTCAAAACCAAAGAGGACCGAAAATTAAATTTTTTACGATGAATAAAGAACGACGTAAATTTAAAAGTCATCGCATAATGATCAACTTGTATCTAGGGTGCCTATAAGTTCTTTATTGAATAGATACTTAGGGTCCGTTTGATTGTAAATGTGAAAAATGAGTAGAAAGAAAATGTTTTATAGGGAATTGATTTGTCTAGAAATTATTTTACTGAAAATTGTAATTAATTGTGTTTGATTGGCATAATTTTCCATAGAAAATATTGAAAGTTTGATGTCCGTTTGATTTTTTTTTTTTTTATGAAAATTGTCCATTAAAATAATAATTTTTTTTTTTTTTTTACCATTGAATCTAGAATTTGTTCCAATTGCCAAAAAAAATTGAAAAAAAAATTATCATACCAAATATCATTCATTTGACTTTGTTTTGCATGAAAATTGTCAATAAAAGTGATAAATTTTTCCATTGTATCTAGACTTTTTGAGTTTTTTCCAATTGCAAAAAAAAAAAAAAAAAATTCCCACCAAAACATCAAGAATTTATTTTCCTCAAAAATGTGGAAAATGAGAAAAGGTGGAAAAAAATTTCTCGGAAAAATTTTGTCTTTCAAACAATACAAAAGTTGGAAAATGTAATGGAAAATAAGGCGAATCAAATGGAGCCTTAGGGTGAGAAATAGGAGGAGATAGACAGT